ATCGTGGTTATCCGTAGTATAGTGGTGACTTTCTCTGGGCCTGCTCCACTCCTCCACTCCTTCCCGTATCTGTGCATCTGTGTGGACCGCAGTGACCAGACTAGACAGGGACCATTGCTCTCCATCTTCTAGAAGTGGAGACTCAGGCATTAAAACTGGCTGTGGGCCCCTGGGGAACTCTTGCCCCTGTCCTGATTGTTAGATTTGGCGGCTAGGCTGAGACCTACCACCCCACACTCCCTCAGGAGCTGAGCCCACTGGCAGTCAGGAAGCCAGCGCCTTGGCCAGCGTGCTACTGCCTGGTTCTGGCCAGGCTCACTGCAAGTCGGGTTGGCCTGACCTCAGAGCTGTAAAAGCCATCACAGGCACAGATGGAAGAGAAAAGGGCGACCCTGTGCCTCCCCTGGCTCTGCCAGCAGCCTGGTGAGGGTACAGGCTTGTTGTGGGACGGATGAGGGTGCTGTTAGTGTGCATAGGATGTGTGTGTTTGCACATGCGTGTAGGAGTGTGACTGTTTTCAAAACGCAGATTCAGAGTTGAGTGAAGAGAGGAGCCGCTTGAGTGCCCGGGCTGGGTGGGAGAGTTTGAAGAAGTCATGGAAGGGACGTCTGTGCCGTGGCTGAGAAGGGGCCTGGCCGAGTGTGAACGAGGCACACGTGCAAGTGAGCCGGTATGTGTGGCAGCAGGCACATGTGCTGTGGACTGCAGCATGCTGTGTGTACGCCGCACGAGGAAAGAGCGCTGGACCAGGAGTCTCAGGGTCTGGGTTCAAATCCCAGCTCTGCAGCCACTGAGCTTTGTGAACTTCGACCCCGCACTGTCTGGAAGTGAGAACCTGAGGTTGCTCCTGCCTCCCTGGCCACGAGACTCCAGAGTGCATGTGGGGGCACTTGGGGACACGGGTAAGGGACAGCGTCAGGTGGCGAGAGGCTACCTTGCAGCTGCCTCTGGGTGCTCATGGCCTGGAAGGGGAAGCTGCTGCTACAGAACTGGCAGGGGAGAGGCGAGGAGGAGGAGCCTGTGGCTGGGGGAGTAGCCCGCCGGGGTGAGCGCTCTAAACAATCCCATCTGCTGTCTGGGCCGGGTGGAATTTCTGATGGTGTCCCGGCTGCCTGAGGAGGGTGGCCCTCCCTGCGCAGCTGCTGCCTGCTCTTTTGAAGCTCAGCCATGGGCTAAGCTCCCCCCTCTCCTACCCTCGGCTCCCGTCCTGGGCCTGCATTCCTCAGCTGCTGGTGGAGCTGCTTTGCCTGTGCTGGTGTCGCTGCCGCCGCCCCCACCCCCAGGGCCACTGCCACCGCAGCCACCACTGCCACTGAGCCACCTCCTTCCCAGGAGGAGTGGGAGGCCTGGGCATGATACTCCAGCCACGTCTGTCCTCAGAAGCTCACTCCCTGGGGGACAGGGTGTGGGCAGGAAAGGGCAGAGAGCTCCTCCCTCAGAGGCCTCCGAGGCCTTTGTGCTTTGCTCATGCCCAGCCGGGTTGGATTTAACAGCACATCCTGGGCCAGGCTGTAGACGCAGCCTCTGGAACTGTGTGGTCTCGGGGTGTGAAGGGCGTGTGCCAGTTTTTTTTTTTTTTTTTTTTTTTTTTTTTTGTTGTTGTTGTTAGTTCTTTTTTAAAGAGCAAAACCCCACAAAATTTCAAAACAAAATAATAGGAAGGTAACAATGACTAATACATTGCATATTGTTGTCTTTAAATCAGTTACAGAGTAAAAGGTGTTGGCATTTAATTGTCCAAACAATATGAGCACAAACTTTTCTTTTCAATGAACTAAGAGAAATTAGTAGTACAACTATCATATATATATTTTTTTCTTTTTTACTTTTCCCTTCCTTCTTTTCTCCTTTCCCCGTCCTAGTTTCTCTTTCCTTTGAACAATTTCTTCCCATTTTACAATATCTGTTGTAGATTTTCAATCTTATTTACTCTTTCAGCTTCTCACACTAGAAAGACAATATGATGTTTATACATGTGAGTCTGATTTATTTCAGTTATGAGTAGGCTCTCTAGTTGCATCCATTTACCTATAAAAGTCTCCAGTTTATCTTTCTTTATGGCTCAGTAGTACTCCATTGTATAAAAAGACCATATCATTCCTCGGTTGATGGGCATTTGGGTTGTTTCCAAGATCTAGTTATTACAAATTGTGCTGTTATAAACATGGGTGTGCACATATATTGCTGTGGTATGACGTTTTTATTGCTTCTGGGAAGATACCCAGAAAGGGAATAGCTCGGTCAAATGGGACCTCAAATCCTAGTTTTTTGAGGGATCTCCACACTGATTTCCACAGTGGTTGTATCAGTCTACACTTCCACCAACTGTGGAGAAGCATTCCTCTTTCCCCACAGCCCCTCCAGCATTTATTATTGGTTGATGTCTTGATAATAGCCATTCTTTCCAGGGTGAGATGGAATCTCAGTGTTGTTTTAATTTGCATCTCTCGAATGACCAGCGATGTTGAACATTTTTTTATCTATTTATTTGCTGTTTGCATTTCTTCATCTGAGACGTGTGTATTCATCTCAGATGCCTATTTTTAGATTGGGCCTTTAAATTTGGGAGGTCTGATATTTTTGAGTTCTTTATATGTTCTCGATAGTAATCCTTTGTCTGAGGGACAGCTGGAAACATTTTTTCCCACACTGTGTGTTGTCTCTTCACTCTGTTGGTGGTTTCTCTTGCTGTGCAAAACCTTTTCAAGAAGATGAGATCCCAGTTGTTGATTCTTTGTGATAGTTCCTGTGCGATCGGGGTTTTATTCATAAAGTCTTGGCCTACAGCAGTGTCTTCAAGAGTTTTACCTATGCTTGTTCCAGTCTGAATAACAGCTGTCTCCCACTGGGGGCGCCCACCACAGTGAATCTCCCTCCCCCCGGGAGCCCCACCTGAGCGGGTACAGGCATCCCTGATTCACAGGTAGGGAAGCTTGCCAAAAGAAGCCCAGTTGCCCAGGTAGCTGCACAGTCAGGCGTCGGCCATCTGCCAGTGCAGCGGCCTCTTTCTCGGGCCCGGCACCAGTGTACACCAGCTGGAGTTGAGCCCTCTAGTTGTGGCCCTGCCTCGGGAAGGCTGCGGCCTGGGCCATCCCCATGCCCACCGGACCCTGTGTCCCTGACCAGGGTGAGAGGGTGTGCGGTGAGGGGACAGTGCTTGGTTCCCACCAGGGCAGGACTGCTGAAGTAACCCCAGCCAGAAAGGTCAGGTGGGGAATCTGAGGATTACAGAAAGTTTTAATCCCTGAAGGCCCCATGGCTTGTTTGCTTCTCAAGGTTTTTTCCGCCATCATTAGTTTTCTTTTGTTGCTGTTTGTTTTGTTTTGCTTTAATTGGAGAGACTGTGTCAGGTGGGTGTTAAGAAAAGCATGGACTTGGGGCCATGCTGTTTGGATTCAGCTTCTGGCTCTGTCCCTGACTGTGTGACCCTCTATAAGTCATTTAGCCTTTCTTTTCGTATTCGTATCGTGGCTGCAATAATTGCTTCGCTGCGGTGACTTGATGAGATAATACATGCCACATGCTCAGAGGGTGCATGGCACATAGCAGGGACTCATGCTATTTGCTATCATTTTTTATCAGAAAGTAACTCAAAGGGCTGGGGATGTAGGTCAGTAGTAGAGTGTGTGCTTATCACACATGAGGCCCTGGTTCAATCTCTGGCACAAAAAGGAAAAAAAAAAACTCTTGTCCATTGCAGATAATATACATATGCAAAATGAACGTAAAGATCCCTGGCAATGCTATTACTTTGATGTTCTTGCATATATATAATTTATTTGTCTTTTTGAGACAGGGTCTTGCTATGCAGTTCAGGCTGGCCTTGAGCTCACTTTGTAGCCTAGGCTGGTCTGGAACTCACAATGATTCTCCTGCCTCAGCCTCCCAAGTGCTGGGATTATAGGTATGTGCCACCATGCCCGGCTTGAATATTTTAAAATTGTTAAATTAAGAAATGAACATGAATGAAGACTTAATAGGCATTCAAAAATTTACAGGGAAAATTTCCCTGATCTGTTTCGTATGGCTCAATTCTCCCCAGAGGGTTGGAGGGAAGGATTGGGGCTTCTGTTCCCAGGACCCTCCTCTGCCCATCCCGAGCATCCCTCCAGATCTCAGGTTCCTTGGCATAGATGCCTCAGGCATGCTCAGGTGCTAGATTGTGGGGTGGGACTCTCCCCCTGTCTCCCAGGGGCGCAGAGATGTCTCCTGCTGCCTTCCAGACTTCAAGCTCACTCCCAGACCCTGCAGAGTGGCCCAGGGAGGGCAGCTGGTTCCTCTTTCCCAAGAAGCTGGGCCTGGGCCAGCATGAGCTCACGCCTGGAGCCAGCCCAGCTTCCTGGCCCTGCACCTGAGCTGCCACAGCCTGCTTCTCCCAATCGGGGCAATTTCACTGGGTCCCAGTCATGCGCATGTTCCTGCCAGTCCAGCAGGGCTCCTCAGAGCTGTGGCACCATGGAGGGGGAGGCCATGGGGAACCCATCCATCTGCCGGGGTTTGATCTCCTCCCAGGCGCCTGGGTTGAGATCTTGGCTAAGCTGCTGGTGTTTGTTGATGGAGAGAGAGACTGTTGTAGAAATAGTCCCCAACCAGCCCAGGTTGTGGTGCTAAGCAGTTGGTGGCTCAGACAACTTGACAAGTTTGATGTGGTGGGGAAAAAAGCATTTTGTTTTTTCTACTGGACAAGGCTTCACCTGCAGGCTCCTTCCTTTGCTTGCCAGACCTGAGTGTCATCCCTTATAATTCTAGAGGCACCCAGAAACACCACCCTCCCCAGTCCATCCAGGGCTTAGGATTCAGTGCAGCTCACAGCCACTGATTCTTGCCATGTGCCCGGCCCTGTGCTTGGCTTCAGGGAACACAGAGCGCTGCTCAAGCCTGGTGGAAGCAGCGTGTTGACTCTGGAATCAGAGCGCCTGGGTTCAGATTTCAGCTTGGTTGCTCGGCTGTGTGACCTTGAACAAGCTCCTTCGCTTCTATAAAGTGGAAAGGGCAGGGGTAACGTGGACCTCGCAGGCTGACAGAGAGGACGGAGAGCTGCCGTGCATATGGCTCTGGGATAGTGGTTGGCACGGAAGGAGCAGGCAGTGAGTGTTACCTATGGTCACTATTATTGTTATTGCCACTACCCTACCAAGGACACAAGTAACTCCAGCCTGGGGAGCTTCATCTTGGATCTGTTCAGCTGGAAAGCAGAGCTGACTTTTTGATGGCGCCTTTTATGGCAGCCATGCCCGATATTTGGGCATCAGAAGCAGAGATAAAAGACGGTGTCCTTAGGCCCGAGGATGCAGGGCCAATTTGCCTGTGGGGAGGGACGTTAACCTCCTTTGAAATCTTTTGCCCTAATCCTTGCCCCACATCTCCCATTGGCTACAGATCTGGCCAGAAATGTTAAAGCAGGAAGAGGAACATTAGAAAAGAAAAAGGGTTTTTTCCCCCCTTTTTAATTTCAAAAATTAAAAAAAAAAAATCATTCACTTATTTCTTGTACTGGGACTTGAACCCAGGACCTCAGCACGGAGCTACATCTCCAGCCTTCCCCCCAGTTCCTTTATTTTTTAAATTTGGAGACAGAATCTTGCCAAATTGCCCCGATTGGGGCTCCCACTTGTGATCCTCCTGCATCAGCTTCCCAGAGTGCTGGGACTGAGATTATGGGCACACACCACAATGCCTGGCTTTAAAAGTTTTAAAAACAACAACATTTTTGAATGCCTTAGATCTACAGATCTGACCGGGTGATAGGAGGTGGGGCTGGGTCAAGGAGTCGTGCGGTGGGTGCTTGTGGTAGCCCTGGAAAGGTAGGCTGCCCCTCAGCCTCACCCCTCCTGGATGTCTAGCTGGGTGGGTCTGGAAGCCATGTGTCCTACTTCTCTGTATCGCTTCTTCTAACAAAGGGCTCTGGGGGTCCTTTTATCAAATACTCATGTTTAACAGATGAAGAAGTGATAAGTGGCCCAGAGAGGTAAGGAGGCAACCTAAAGTCACCCAGCAAGCAGGGCACAGCAGAATTGTGTTTGTCCTCCTGCTCCTCCTCCTCTGTTCATGTCCAGCCTGGCCTTTCTCCAGTGGCTATGCTGAGGGACCTCTGAGCCCTTCCTGGTCTCCCTGGGGTGGGCACAGGTGTGGCTGTCCAGTAGCCCTGGGGACCTCGGACAATGAGACTGGCTTTGTTGCAGCCCCAGGAGCTGTGGCCATTTGGGCCGAGTTTCCATTAAGCTGTTTCCGTGCCTTGGGCAGGAGCAGGCAGCTCGGCATTTAAAGGTCACCCGGCTTTTGAAGCTGCAGCGACATTAATAGCTTGGGAAGAAAACAAGCCTGCGCAGGGGCAGGAGGACAAGGCGGCTCTGTTAGGGCCGCCCCTCAGGCGCGCGCGCAGACACACACACACACACACACACACACACACACACACACAGATCGGAGAACCTCGGTTTCTTGTTCTGCCCCCTTCCCCTCGCCCCTGCTGAGCCTCTTCAGGAGCCCCGCCCCGCCTCATCCGTCCGAGGTGACAATTGGACGAGGAGGATGCGGCTCTGCCCGGGCTCAGCAGCCTCTCCATTGCACTAAGGTTTCCCAGGACTTAGCCATGGTTACACAAGCCTCCCAGGGGTCATGTGACCTTATCCTGGCCCTGCTGGCTTTTGCAGCCCCAACTGATGAAACAAAGTCAGCCAGGCCCTAGCTTCCCGGATGGACGGGAGGGAAGGCGCTGGCTGAGCGCAGGGTCTCGCTGGCCAGGTCTGGTCACGTGCCAGTAGCTGGCCCGAGCGCCCTGTCACAAAGGGTCCTGAGCTGGATGGATTGGTGATGCCTGCCAAGGACCGGGGGTAGAAAGCCGTGGCGGAGTGCCACGGATTTCCCACTTCGGGTTCTAAGGCCCCAGGGGCTATTGGGTGGCTCTTCTCCCTTCAGTCTCAAGGTGGGGGTGGGGCACACCCTGTTCTGGCAGAGAAGCTGCTGTCTGCCCTTTCCCGGGAGCAGCCAGGGCCCGAGCGCGGGGATGCCACCTAGTGGCCTGGTCTGGCAGCACCACTGGGCTGGGCCCAGAGTTTGGGCAAGACATGGGTGCCTCCTGGGACTGGCACCGATGACACGATCGAAGGGCTGCTCCTCAGCGATTTTCTGAGGCCGGAGCCTGGGGTGCTCAAGGACAGGGCTGGTCGGGGGCAGTCCTACCTCTCCTTCCAGAGCTGGCCTGTGGGACCTCTGGCCCCCAACACCTCACCTCCTCCCGGGGCCCCCTGTGGTCACCCCCACCTCTCACGGTGGACTGTGGTTCTCCAGAGACAGACCGGAAAGTCAAGCGAGCTCTGGGAGTGGGTGGCCACTCCAGTCCCCTAGAGCTGATTTAGTGAGGAAAGGGGACCAGCTTGCCATCAGCCTCAGGTGCCGGGCAGGAGGCCCTGAGGCCCAGCCCTGGGAAGCTCGTGGCCCCTAGGCATGTCACTGAACTGGCCTCTGACACCCTGTCTGGGAAGTGGGATAAGAACGCATGCCCCGTGCACCTCGTAGGTTTGTGGCAAGGAGCCCCTGAGAGTAGTGAAAGGGCACTGGAAATTTAAAAGTCCTTCCCCTGCCCCTGCTGTGACCCTCGACTTATCACGCTTCTCCGCCTCGCCTTCTGAGCCACCCAAGGCGCAGCTGTTGATATGCTGGGCACTGTTTTAGGGTCTGGTGGTCCTGCAGTGAACACAGCAAAGACCCTGCCCTGTGGCGCTCACGTCTAGTGGACGGTCAGTGGCAAACGTCATTTGCGCTGGCCTGCGACACAGGAGGGTGGGGCAGGGACCAGAGGAGTGAAGACCCCTCTGTGTGCATGCCTGTATGTGTGTCTTAGTGGGCTCACGTGCTTGTTTGATGGCAAAGAGGTGGCAGGGGCAGACCCACGCGGGGGCTGGTGGGCCACTGCAAAGCTCTGGATTGTGTCTGAGGACGAGGAGCCAGGAGGGCTTTGGAGCTGAGGAATGCCGCTGCGGCCACCGTAGCGGGGAAGGGACAGGCAGGGAGTTCGGTGGCGGGTGCTGGCATGGAGGTGGCTGGGTTCTTCAGACATTTTGAAGGCTGGGAAGACAGGATGGGGCGTGGATGGGCTGCAGGGCCTAACAGAAAGCTCTGGAAGATGAGCTCAGAGCTCTGCCTGCGCCCCATGGAGCTGTGGGTAACAGAGGTGAGGAGCAGACTAGGGCCAGAGAGAATCGCGGGTGGGGTAGGCCCACATTTCCGGAGCTGCCACTGGGCAGCAGGTGGAGGCGGCAGACGGGCTGTGCACGTGCAGGGTGGGAGGTGTCCAAGGGGAGGTCAGAGGTGCCGCAGAAGAGTAGGAGTTGGCATGCCGCGTGCCATGGGGCTGGCTGAGATGGCTCAGGGTGTGAGCGTAGCCAGGGCCACAGCAGCTTGTCTTCTTGGGTGCTTCCTGCGCCCCAGGTACCCACAGAGTCCTAGCACAGCATGCCTTCCAAGTAGGTGTTACCCGTTTCTACCAGCGAGGAAGCCGAGGGCCAGAGCGGTGAACTAATGTCGAAAGGCATACAACCTTACCAGGGTCTGAGCAGGAACACAGGGTGGGCTGCATCGGCTCTGATGGCAGCAGGAGACTGGCTGGGCTGACCTTGGACAAGGCTGGGGGAGCCTGCCCACCCCCCTGGGCCAGGCCCAGAGTGACTCAGGCCTTGGCCGCTGCTCATTCTAGGAGTGGAGTTGGCTGTGTGCCACCCCTGCCAGGCCTGGATTGTGCCACCCCTGCCAGGCCTGGATTCCTTTACTGGGAGGAGAAGGAGGAGGAGGAGGAGGCTGCCCTCGGCCTGGCTCCCTGGGACATGGGGGAGAACAGGTGTGAGTTTCTGCTTCCAGGTCCTCGGGTCACCGCTGCCCTGTGTTCATGAGAGGTCTGACAAGCTCAGCGGGATTGACTCACTTCCTTTGTCAGAAGCCGCTCAGGGCTTATCTCCCTGTTTCCCTGCCAGCGCTCAGCAGCTGGGGTTCAGAGAGGTGCTGTGGTTTCCCCAGGATCACAGAGCCAGGTTTGGGGCAGAGCCAACAGGCCTCCCCTGTGCTGTTGTGGGTCACGTTCCTCTGATGGAATGCCCTAAGCCCGGGGCACCTGGCTGCATTTCTCAGGCTCCCTGGCTCTTAGCCCTGCAAGCCTTACTTGGCATTTTTGGCTTTTAGGAAGTACGTTGCTGATTCTGTTCTGTTTTCACACTAGCTGTGTGGCTTTAGGCAAGTTACCTAACTTCTCTGGAGCTTTTTCCAGAGCTATAAAACAGAGATAATGACAACTATCTCTTGGAGTTGTAATAAAGATTAACAGTGAAAGCGCCTAGCACAAACTCATAAACTTAGGTCACCTGGGTGCCTTCGTTCTTTCAGGGGCCTTAAATTGCTTTCTGTTTGAGCAGAGCTGGTAGCAAAAGCAGCCTGGCTTGGATGACTTTGACCCTAGGGACAGTCCTCTCTATGGCTAGCCACACCCCAGGGCTGGCGTAGCAAGGGATGGTCCTTGGAGAAGTGGGGGCCCTTCCAGCCCTGCCTGGTACTATCTATAGGCAGCCTGGCTTTCGGGATCCTGAGGGCCCTGCACAGCGGCACACACCTACGGTCCAACACTCCCTTTTCAACACGTTGCATCCAGGCTCAACGACGAGGTTGTCCAGGCCAGCCAACTCCCCCCACCCCCGCCCACTGCCACGAGGACCGGCATTTCCTCCCAGAGGGCGGAAGAATTCAGGGTTGACATCTAGATACAACAGAGTCCCGGAGAATTTCCCCCTCTGTCCCCTCACCCTGGGGTGCAGCTCAGCGGGCACCCCCGCTGCGCCTGGCTCTTCACCAGCCTCTGGGGGCAGAGACAGCAGAACGCAGCTCACCGCTTTCCGGACACTGCGCCGAGGGCTAGCTTGTTTTGTTTGCATGGAAGCCATATAAGGGCTACGTATAGATGGGGGCACCGGGCCACAAAGAGGACAGGGACGTGTAGAAGTCTGCAGCCAGGCTGAGCAGCGCATGCTCACTGTCACCGAGCGCCAGGTGCCAGGACACCTCTCAAGGCTTCTCGGCAGTCACAGGCCGCCAGCCCGAGGGATCTGCCCTCAGAACTGTTAATGGGGACCTGGATGCCACACCGCCCTTCTTCCTCCCCAGGTGGCCGGGTCCTGGCCTCTTTCTCCAAGTGACAGCTGGCTCCCCCATCTTTCTTGCAGAATTATCAGAGGGGCAGGGACATGGCGGCTTTGCTCCCAAGGGCCTGAGCGTGAGAGCGTGGTCCCCATGTGTGGTGACGCTGTGATGGGCCCTGGCTTGTGGGCCTGCTGGCCCAGGGGTCTGTGTGACAGGCCTCACTCAGGGCAGGTCCTCAGAGCCCAGGATCAGAGCAGCCACCAGGGCACAGCCAGAGTAGCAGCCCCCGAGCTGCTGCTGTGTCAGGAGGTACAGGGCGCTGGGGATCTGCAGCCAGCTGTGGGAAGCCATGTCACGGGGCTACCTTCCTGTGTTCATTCACACAGCCAAATGCGTGGACGGTCATTTGAGGTCGCCCTTCTGTTTCTCCTTGTGAAATGGCTTTGGCCTTCCTGGGCTTGACTGGCTCAGCTGGGCAGAGGGAGGTGGAAAATAAATTGTGCTTTACCTAGAATCCCACTCAAGCATTAAGCGTGATGGAGTAGGTCTATGGGTTCTGACATGGAAAGACGGCCACCTTATACTGTTCAGCGGTAAAAACTAGGACACAGTGGAATTTATGGTTTGATCATGTTACAAAAATCGATGGATTGATTTTTGTGGTACTGGTGATTGAAGCCAGGGCCTTGCACAAGCAAGGCAAGGACTCTACCACTGAGCTACATCCCCAGCCCTCTGTTTATAAACACCCTGTACCTCCTGACACAGCAGCAGCTCGGGGGCTGCTACTCTGGCTGTGCCCTGGTGGCTGCTCTGATCCTGGGCTCTGAGGACCTGCCCTGAGTGAGGGCTGTTTATAAAAACGAAAACAAAAACAAAACGACATTATTTTGAGACAGGGACTTGCTAAATTAATTATTCAGGCTGGGCTTAAACTTGTGATCCTCCTATCTCAGCCTCCCAACTGGCTGGGATATAGGCATATGCCACTGTGCCTAGCTATGACATTTTAGCAGAATAAATTCATGCATGTGATAATATATGCAGAGAACAAGTATGTACACATTAGGACAAATGTAGGCACGTGATCCTGCTAATAAATTTTCTCAGGGTGGGAGTGCATTGTGTTCTGTATCTTCAGTCTCCACCGGCTTCATAGAGCCCATTGTACCTGTAGTTTTCCAGCCTCAGATCCAACCTGCCTTTCTGAGACTAGGCAGACACTCAGCAGGCCCAGAATGGGAACCTCTGATGCTGAGGTGGAGGTGTGAGGTGACAAGAACCTCAACATGGTGGCACTTGGAGCCACTGGATGAGTACGAGGGTCCAGTGAATTATGAGGGGCCTGACCTCCAGGCACTGGGAGTCACTGGCGGCCATGCATCCTCCTCCCCCGCATGGGGAGGCCCTTCCCCTCAGTCCCTGCTTCTCACTCCATCGGCTGCCAAGATGGTGACAGGGATGATCCCACTGAGCCACTCACACTACTGTTCCTCCATTGGCAGTAAAGCTTGAGACCTCCAAGCCCTAGAAAAGGAAAGCACAGCCACCAGTTTTCTACAGTTCACTGAACGACTGTCCATCCTGGGGGGAGGGGAGAAAGCCAGAGTGGTTTTTCAGACTCATCCGACCCTCCTTGTCTGCGCTAACCCAGGGGTAACCGTGGCGGTGGTTTCCATGCCTGGTTCTGAGTGGGCCCGGTGGTTTTCTGTGGCAGGCTCAGGGCAGGTCCCCAGAGCCCAGGATCAGGGCAGAGACAGGGCTTGACGATGTTCAGCCCTCTCTGCACGTAGCCTTAGGCACACCGTGTGGGGTTGAGGGGCGGGTGGGGCTGGCTGGGGCAGAGGCACTGGGTTTGGGGGAGAACTTAAGCTAGCCATGGTTTCTCAAGAGCTTCCAGAAGAAACTTCTAGGGGTTTTTCTTTAAATATGCAGGGCACTCGATATTCTTTAAAAGCAGATCCGTATCTCTGATGTAACGTAATGTGCTGGCCTAACAGAGCGGTGAGGAGATGCAGTCCGGGACCAGGCTCCTTCCTGCAGGACTGGCGCTTCTGAAGGGCCTGGATTGAGCCTCAGGGCCTGGCCCCAGGCGCTCCGAGGGCAGCAGCCTGGTGCTGGGCCTCCTCTAACATCCACAGCTCCTCAGGCATGGAAATCATGTTTCCTTTCTCAGGTTGGCGGTTCCTGGTGACAGAGGGGAGTCCCTCAGATTCCGGAGGGCTCCGCACAAGGGGGACGTTGCGGTGTCAGGAGCGATGTTAGGGTGGTGGTGTGGGAACATGGGGAGCAGGACCTGGAGCCCCTCCTGCCCCTCAGGTCCATCCTTGGCAATATGCGTAGTGGTTGAGACCGGTGACTGGGGGTGAGGCATAGATCCTGGGTTCAAATCCTATCTCTGCTACTTTGAGTCTTTTCACAATTTCTCCATCTGCAGAATGCGATTGTGCACCTACCATAGAGTGCTGGCTCGCATTAGCTCAGAGCACCCTTGCTAAAGTACTGTGGCAAAATGTGGCAGCTGCAGAGGTGGCAGAAAGAGGCAGGTCTCCGTGCGCGGCAGGGTCGCCTCTGCCCGCCATCGGTTCCTGACTCACCACGCTGACTCGCGTCTCACCCATTCCAGGTGGGACCGTCCCAGAGCCGGCGACAGGATGCCCCGGTGGTGCGGATGACCTGCATCCAGCCGAGCCCAGTCCAGGCCCGCATGTCGCCGCCCCATGAGTGCCGCTCCTCGAGGGCCGCCTGGGGCTCCGCGCCCATAGTCTCCTGACCCGGAGCCCCACTGCCCATTGGCGTACAGAGGAGGAGGCGCAGGGGTGAGCTTCCCGTATCCGCGGAGCAAGCAAGCAAGCAAGCAAGCAAGCGGCCGACGGCGCAAGGACCAGGAACGAGGGGGCTTCGCGGCCGATCGATCGGAAACATTTTCCCCAAGCGGCTGCACAAAATGACCAGCCTGTTCCGAAGGAGCAGCGGGGGCGGCGGGGCGGGGGCGCGCGGGGCCGGGGCGGGGACCGGGAGCAGCTCCGCGGCCCCGCAGGAGCTCAACAACAGCCGGCCCGCGCGCCAGGTGCGCCGCCTGGAGTTCAACCAGGCCATGGACGACTTCAAGACCATGTTCCCCAACATGGACTACGACATCATCGAGTGCGTGCTGCGCGCCAACAGCGGCGCAGTGGACGCCACCATCGACCAGCTGCTGCAGATGAACCTGGAGGGGGGCGGCAGCAGCGCCTACGAGGACAGCTCCGACTCGGAGGACAGCATCCCCCCAGAGGTAGGGCGGGGTGGGGGCAGGCTTCAGAAGCTCCGGGCGACTCCCCTGCCTAGCTCCTAACCGGCTAGCAGGCCCCTGTTCCTTTAGGAAACGCAGAATCAGGCAGCAGCCTTAGTTTAATGAGCAGAAATCGTGCAGTCATTCAACAAACACTGACTTCTCAGTGGTGCACCAGGATCAGGGATCATCAGAATCAAAGTGCTTGTTAAAAATGCAGATGCCTGGGGCCCCATCCAACATGCTGCTTCCCAATTCCAGGCCCAGAATCTTCTAATGCACACTTTTCAAGAAAGGCTTACTGGGCATGGTGTCACACACCTGTATTCCCGGTATTCAGGAGGTTGAGGCAGGAGGATCCCCGTGAGTTGGAGGCCAGCCTGCGCTACATAGTGAGTTCAAGGGCCAGCCTTCACTATGTAGTGAGACCCTATCTGGAAAAAAAAAAAAGAAAGGCTCTTGACCTCTGAGTATCCACCTTGGCCAAGTCAGACGGAGCTTGTGCCCTCCCAGAGCTCATAGTCCAGTATGGACTAGAGGCAAGAGTTGGCCAAGAAAGGGCCCAGCAGAGGAGATTTAACTACTCTGCCTTGGGCCCCAGCATGTGGCAGGAACCAGCACTTGGGATGTAGTCATCTCCGCACACTTCAGGAAGAGCACTGTTGTTCCCGCCCTCATTACAGTGAGAAACCTACACCCAGAGAAGGCGGTCATCCTGTAGGGCCAAGGCTTCTCGCCCCCCTGCCCGGCCTTGGCAGGTTCTCCTGGGACTTCCCTCCCCAGGGGAGAAGCTGTGTGAGTAATGACCTCTGTCTCATCCCTGTGTCACATGCGCTACCCAGGACAGAGAAGACACTCAGGGAATGTTTGTTGAATGAATAAATGTTGCTGCTGTCTTTGCACAACTTTCTGTCATCTCCTGTTGAGCTGCCTGGATTAGCCAGGGGAGGGGAATATTGGAAAGCGCAGATCCTCCTGGTGGAAAGGTGTGTGTGTGTGTTATGTGTGTGCAGTACATTTTTTCAGTGTGAGCTGGAAAGTTCTCTGCAGTCTCGTTGGTCCTGACAGTCTGATAAGTAGGATTTTTCCTTCTCTATTCCTGGTGCCCGTAGCCCTGTGGTTCCCCGGTCGGTCCCTATGTCACCTGCACTGTGTGACTTGTTTTCCTGAGGCTCCAGCTCCAGCCAAGCCCCTTCATGCGCTCTGCAGCTCCCCCTCTGGCGCTCTGCCTGGGCCCATGCACAGCCAGCTCCGAGCCCAGAAGCGAGAAGTCTGCGGAAAATTTATGAGCAGCAGCTGGACCGACAGTAACTGCTGACTGGAAAAAACCCCTCTCGGGCTGATGAGTGGGGGGGCTGGCCCAAGGGGTATCCTGGCCGCAGATAAATGGCCCAGACCCTGTCCCCACCCTGGCACCTGGCCGGCCTCTGTCGCCCACAGTGAGTTAAGCCAGGATCCCGCAGGGCTGCAAACCCCAGCACCTTTAGAGCCAGAACAGGCTCCTGGTGGCTGGTTGGGTAGCACAGGAGGCCAGGAAGGCACTGGCTGGGGTCTGCCTTTCTTGGCTGCCTCTGAGAGTACACGTCCCTGTTCCTCCGCGGGAGGCTCCTGGGGGCTGCATGTGGAGCCCTCGGGCCTGATCTCCGGGGTCTGGGGTTTGACTGCTACAGGCCACGGTCAGCGGAGGAAACCGGGGCAGCTTCCCCTGGGAACAGCTTCCACCACTGCTCCCCTCCCCTCCTCTCTTGAGACCAGCTTCACCGGAACTGGCCAGGCGCCAGGCCGGAAGCAGAGCACAGAGCCTGGGCAGTGCGTGTGGGGGCGCGGTGGCCGCCGCGAGGCCTCTGTGTGCCTCAGTTTCCTGCCGAGCTGCCGCGAACAGGAACAGTGCTTGCAGTCTCAGTCTCTCAGTTTGTCTCTGTCTGTCTGTCTCTGTCTCTCTCCCTCCTCACAGAAGTCTGCAGTAAGCACAGCACTGGCCCACAAAGCAGCCATACTCTTTTCCTACAAAAGCATCTGTTTAAATGCTTTCCACCCCACAGGAAAGAACGTTAGCGCACTCCAGGGCGGGAGGCCTCCTCGGCCTGTGCAGGCCGTGCAGTGTGTGTGCCTGTGTGTGTGCTCACACGTGTGTGCTCCCTGCCAGGGCGTCCCGTGGGGCTCTAGTGCCAGGCGCGGCAGGTGTCGAGCAGAGATATGCCCACGCACCCCGGCCCAGGCTCGCAGGGGGAGGCAGCTTTAGAAGTGACCTCTACAAACTCACTTGGACTTACGTTTGGGCTCGGAGTCTCTGAGCCCTTCCCAGCTCCCGAGTCCTGCAGGAGATGGGGGCAGGGTGGAGGAGGGAGGGTCGGGAGGTAAAGTGTAGACCATCGGGATGTGTGACGAGGGGTCTGCTGCTCCAGATGCCTCTGGCACCGCGGGGAGGGCCCAGCTCATCCGTGTCCGGGGAATCCGGTCCCAGCCTCTCCCATCGTCTTGCTGGCTCCTGGGTGAGAGAAGCTGGATGGCAGCGCTGGCCTCTGGCCTCTTGCACCCTGAGCGTCCAACCCAGGTGGGGTTTGCCCCGAAGGAGGAGCCCTGGCTGCAGAACCAGGGTTCCGGGGGGAAGACTCCACAAATCCCACGTCACTTCGTCAAGCTGTGTCTCAGGTCCCTCTTCTGTAAAAGCGGTGTAATGATCCACCTGCTATCTTGCCGGGCCATTCAAGGTTAAGACGGTGGAAGTACTTGGAAGAGGACACGGGGATGTTCCTTCAGAGAAAGGATGCAAATCACAGGCACGCAGCTCAGTGAAGCCTCAGGGTGCGAATGCACTGTGGTGTCACACCTGGATCAGGAGACACCTAGCCAGCCAGGAGCCCCGGGCCCTGCCCACAGGGCGATGCTGCTGACCCCGCGTCTGGCCTGTTGTTGAACCTTGCTTAAGTGGCTGATGTGGCTGTGACACTCCCCTGGGGGCTTGCGTGTTCATGTCTGCCGGGCCTGCGGCAGTGGTAGGGGCAGTGGTAGGGACAGAGGTAGCGACAGGTCCAGCCTTAGTAGATAGCACTCATTTTCCGGAGAAGTGGTCGTATCAAGCGACACTCCCACCCGCGGCGTATAGAGTGCCTTATCACACGTCCTCGCCCGCACTTGGTTTTGTCTCATTGCTATTTAGATTCAGGGAAGGCTTATTAATATGTCTTTCTTGGTCTTCTCTGGTTTAGATCTTGGAAAGGACTTTGGAACCTGATAGCTCCGATGAAGAGCCTCCACCTGTGTACTCCCCTCCGGCCTACCACATGCACGTGTTCGACAGGCCTTACCCTCTGGCCCCGCCCACTCCACCGCCCCGGTGAGGATCCAGCCCGCCTCTGACCACGGGAGAGTAGCAAGGGAGTGGTTGGGCTGTGTGCAGACACAGTGGGAAACGTGGCTGGACCTCTCGGTATACGATTCCACCAAGAGCAGGCTTCTACCGCGGCAAGAGCTGTTTTATTTAGCCTGGTTCCATGGAGAACTTTCGAGATGTCAGGATTGCTAGAGCAAACATTTAAATCCCTACTCTAGGCTAGGTAGTATGTCCGGTGCTACATGGGACCTAGGTACACCTCGGCCTCTGCTTTCTGGGGTTGTAGTCAAGGGAGATGCTGGAGCAGGAAGGGTGAGGCCACGGAATGCACTCTGCCGTTTCTTCTGGTACTGGGGATCAAAAGCAGGGCCTCGCACATTCTATTTAAGCTCTCTACCACTGAGCTATACCTCAGTCTTTTAAAGTTTTATTTTGAGACAGCGTCTCGCTGAGTTGCCCAAGCTGGCCTCAAACTTGCAGTCCTCCTGCCTCAGCCTCCCAGGTCTCTGGGATTAAAGGCATGCACCTCTGTGCCCAGCAACCTTAGGGGATTTTTTAAACAGTGGGAGTAAGTCTCTTTTCCTGGGATAGTTTAATAGCTGGAGACAGGAGAATAGACTTCGAGGTCCCTGGAGAAAGTCTCCAGGGTAAGGACTCTGAATGGAAGCTTAAAATGGAGGCTGCCCACAGGGTCCCAGGGATCTGTGAGGCCCTTGTTAGCCTGGGCTCCGCGTTTGTGGTGAGCTGTACGCTGCCAGAGGCCAGGTGTTGTCTCTTTGACCTTGAACTGCTGTTCTTAGAAGGACTCAGGCCGAGTGGGTGATCTTGGGAGCCCATGAGCCATGGCAATGGGGATCATATCACCTGTCACGCAGGTATAGCTACAAAGAACCGCTGGGCGCCTTTCAAAGGCCCGACCCGCCAAGCCTCCTTTACCTAATGACTTATGAGGTGGCGCTGTCAGCATCCCCACTTTACAGATGACTGAGAGCTGGGATTTGAATCCAGATCTTCTGGACTTCAAAGCCAATCACTCTTCACTGCCGTGCGCTGTCACCTCCCCAGTGAGAACTCCTGGATGGTGGCTTAGGGGCCAGTTGAGGCCCCTAGAGAGCTGCAGGGTGCTGTGTCTTGAGTGAGGGTTTATTAAAAGTGCTGGGGTGGGAGGCAGGGACTAAGTGGCCAGTCTGGGCAAAGCCTGGGCAGGACTCACATTCTCCGGTGGGTCATAATTATCCACCCCCCTTTTTTTTGTACTGGGGATTGAAACCAGCAAGCACTGAGCCATATCCCCAGCCCTTTTTATGTACTTACTTTTAAAATTTCGAGACAGGATCTTGCTAAATTTCCCAGGCTGCCTTTGAACTTTTGATCCTCCTGCCTCAGCCTCCCAAAGTGCTGAGAATATAGGCATATACCACCAATTGCTGGCTTTGACTTTTTTTTTTGAGACAAGGTCTTGCTATGCAGTTCAGGCTGGCCTTGAGCTCACTTTGTATTCCAGGCTGGCCTCAAACTCACAATAATCCTCCTGCCTCAGCCTCCCGAGTGCTGAGATTACAGCTGTGCGCCACCACGCCCTGCTTTGACATTTAAAAAAAAAATATGACTTTTGAAAAATATCCCAAGATACTTTTGCAAAAAGGTCAGTTCCTGTTAGGCAGAATGGCTCTGACTTTTTCTGAAGGGGAAGTCGAGGCTGTGGGAGTGAATGCTGGCACTGACCTGGGGTGGGTTTGTCCTGCCTCATCCTTCCCCCTCTGCTCTGCTGTGGGTGGGGTAGGGTTAGGGGCAGGGGCAGTGCAGCTCACTGAGGGGAGCCTCACTCAGACAGAGGCTCAGGAGGCCTTGCTTAGACCCTGTGGGCTTCAGCCAGCTGCTGTTCTGGCCTGGACCAGACCCAGGGACCGAGGGCTTTGCTGCGAGGGAGTGGGCACATTGCGGAGAGCTTGACTCTGCCTCCTTTTGCTGCCAGACTTCTGATGTACCTGGCGTCTCTGCTGTGTCACTTTCCCTCTGAGCTTCGTCTGCTCACCTGGGAAACGGGGTTACTGACTTGCCCCTCTGCGCTGTTACAAGGATTGAGCTGTTGTGTTTGGAGCGCTCAGCACAGTGCTGCGGACACACCAGACCTGTAATCAGGGGTTTACTGCTCTTCCTGCCCCGCCGTGCTGGCTGGCCTCGGAGGTCAGCTCCAACTCTGAGAGGCAGACCAGTGCTGAGGCTTCCCAGGCTTCCGGCATGCACCAGCGGTAGGGCCAGCCCCTGAGCAATGCCCCTTTGCTCCCATGGCCCAGATCTACCTACCCCGGCCCATCTCCAGGGCCTCAGTCAGCCTCTGTATCCAGCACATTCGTTTCCGGCATCGAGCGAGTCCCCGGCAGTCTGCCAGTGTTCGTGTGTGCTGCACGATGAACAGACAGTGGCCCCTCACTCGCACCCCGAGGAGATCGGGGCCCGGAGGGCATAGACACAGGGGCAGGAGCTGCCTGGAGCGACTGCTGCCCACACTAGGAGCTGAAGGCCCTACGCCTTGGCATCAGCCCCATGAAACACGGATGGGAGGGTGTGCCGGGCATAGGAGACAGCGTGTTCAAAGGCCTGGGGGGAAGAGAGGGGTGTCTGGGAACTCCTGGAGTGTGGGGCGCTGGCCAAGGCTGGAGAGGCCAGCAGGTGGAGGGACTTCCATCTTACCTGCAGCTTCGGGGAGGCGGTGAGAAGGTTTCAGTGGTATGGTCAGGCTCTTGTTGTAGGACTCCTTTTTTTGGGGGAGGGTTTTGGGTTTTTTTCCGGTACTGGGAACCGAACTCACGACCTTGCACTTGCCAGGCAGGCGCTGTGCCCCTGAGCTAAATCCCCAGCCCCTTCTTGTTGTAGGACTCTTCCAGCCTCTGAGAAGAGTCAGTCTTGAAGGAAGAGAATGGTCTGAACCCCTTCAGTCCCCGGGGTCTGAGAGCCTGTAGGTGGGCTGTGTTTGGAACCTTGGACATTGCTCTAAGGGCCCCAAGAGGCAGGTCCTTCCCAGAGAGTGTCTCAGTTACCATTCTCATTGCTGAGACGAGATACCTGACACCCAGAATAAAGGGGGAAAAGTTTACTTCCTCACGGTTTGTAGAGGTTTCAGTCTGTAATCAGCTGGCTCCAAGGCCAGGGTGGCATGGCAGACAAGCATTGCAGAGGAAAACAGTTCATGGGCAGAAGGTAGCAAAGCAAGAAAGGGTTGACCACAGCTCTTTCTGTCCCTCCCTTGTATCTTATCCAGGCTACTTAGGGTGGGCAGCACTCACACCCTTAATCCTTGTGCCCTTGATCCTAGCACGGCACCATGAGTCAATCCCAGCGTCACACACTCTAGATCCAGCCACCTCTGAGAAAGCCCCACATATGACTGCATGAGGCCTTGAGGGGACATCTAGACACAAGCCATAACAGAAAGCAAGCCTGAAACACAAGGATCCCTGCACCCTAGATGACCCTTGTGTCATGAGGCAGGACCTGTCCCATGTGGACTTCAAAAATTTCTGCCAAAAATCCTGCCGGGAAGGTCTCCTGTCTTTGAAGTCGTTGACAGCCAGGTCTGACACTCTGTGGTTAAACCCAGGATCTATTTTTGGGCTCCAGAAGCTCTGGCCAGGAGACTGTCCCCAACTTGCTATCTTGTTCCCTTCCCCCGCCTGTCCCTCTTTCCATTATCTGAAAGTCTCTAAAGTCTGGGAGACCCCTCCACACGGGCCGCCTGCTGTTCTTCCATTGAAATTGCAGCCTTGGAAGTTTTTTATTTGTCTCTCAGCTCATTTCTGACATTCCTTTCCAACCACAGTGGAGTTTCCTAGGCTGCCTGTGGTCCGGCCCCCTGCTCCTGCAGCTGCGTCTGCCTTCATCTCTGCCCGGACTGGTGCCAGGGCCCGGAGCCTGATGGGGCTGGGCTTGTCCTTCCTCTAGCATCCTGCACCCAGCAGTCAGGGAGACTCCGTGGAAAGGTGGGGGGGCTCCTCTGTGCTGACCCTGCCGCTTGGGTGTTTTGGCTAGAGGGGTCTAGACACAGCTGTGCAACTTTTTGAGTGGCCCCAAGGTGTGGTTGAGTTCAGGGTGGGCACCTGTGTCCCCAGATGGAGACCCCGAGGCCCAAAGCAAGATCATGACCCTAGAGAAGATTTCTGCCAGCTGTAGCCAGAGGTGGTCTTCAAGTCCCTGAGAGACGGGGCATCCTCTTGGGCCAGTAGAGGAAAGCAAAGCCTAGGACAGGGACAGACGTTGCCCTCTCCGAGGGTTCTCTGCTCCGTACTATGCAAGAGGGTGGCCGTACGTGGGGTTCCCTTGGCTCCGGGCTGCCAGGCTTAGCTCCTACCATGCTCTTAGCAGCTGGTGATCCGTCTGCTGCCTCCCTTTCTCTCTCACCCCCGCTGGCCACCAGCCCAAAATAGAAAAGGAAAGGAAGTTATTTCCACAGTCCTGGAGCCCGGAAAAGCTCCCCTCCAGTGAGGGGGCGGACAGGATTCCTGGAGCTGGAGGCCAAATCAAAGCCAGGCTGAGCATGAGCGGGCCCCGCCACCCCGGCCCGGCCCGCGACTGCCTTCTCAGTGTGTCATTTCCCTGATTCAGCAGAACACGTGTCCTGCGGCTGCCACGCTGCAGGCTGTGGAGGAGCTGGGGGGGCTCCTGGCCAGGCTCCAGGCTGCCCTCAGGCCCGGGCAGCATGGCCTCTCTTCCTCTTCTGCACCCCCACACAGCTGCCCTCTGCCCTGGCAGGGACCTCCCACCGCACACCTTTCCTGCAGGCAGGCTGGCTGGCTTCTGTGTTGATACTGCGTGTATATTGTGCTAGCGCTGGGATATGAGCACCAAAGGATACGATCCCCTGACTACTGATGAACGTCTGTGTCTAAACCCACAAGACTGACAGTGTCACGAGCAGAGCTCCTGTGCTCCGGCGGGGCTTTGAGTAGAGAGCAGTGACGGTTACCTGAGCTCAGGGCCAAGGGACAAAGCCAAGTCAGGCCTCCTGTGATGAGAGCAAGGCCTTCATCTAAGGCAGCAAGGGCCTGGGAAGCTCTGACCAGGGTCCTGCCAGAGGACCGCATGTGAAGGGCCTGGAGGCCCGTGCTTGGGCCTGACTCTCCCTGGTCCTTCCTCCCACCCTGCAGGATTGATGTGCTGGGCTCCGGGCCCTCTGCAAGCCAGAGGCGCTATCGGAACTGGAACCCACCGCTGCTGGGCAACCTCCCTGATGACTTTCTCCGCATCCTGCCCCAGCAGCTGGACAGCATACAGGTAACGGCTGCTGCGTGCCACCCCCCGAGCCTACCCGCCTATCTAGTATCTCTCCTCACCCACACGGTTTGTGCCAGCCAGTTTTGCTTCCTGGTCATTAAGCTCAGGCGAGTTATTTCTGTTGCCCTGGGTTTGCAGGCAAAGAATGCCCAACCGAAAGCCTCATTTCCTGTCAGGGTGTAGAGGTTTCTTGTTCTGCCTAGGGTGAGGTGACGGCCTAAGGGCACTCTCTGGCTGCAGGGAGGGGGCTTGGGGCAGTCAGTGGCTCCTGTCCCTTGGGAAAGGGCTGGGGCAGCTGCTCCCCAGACCTTGACAGGTCCCACACCCTGCAGAGTGTGTGTGTCTCACCCTGCGGAATGTGTGTACAGGGAGAGGTTTGAATTCGGGCATCCGTATGCAGGCTCTTGAGCTGTTTACAAACGCGTTTTCAGGAGTGTGCGGGTTGTGGATGCAGGAATGAGGGGAAAGATCATTTTTGAGCCCTGCTGCTTCCCCAGAGGAGGTGGGCTCAAGTGTCAAGGGTACGTGTGCATATAAGTGTGCATGGATGCGGGTGCATTGCACGCCCTTGCGAGTGGGCATCAGCATGCTCCTCCCTCAGGGTAACCCCCGGTGCACCAAGTCTGTGAGCGGAGAGGGAGGCCTGCCTCCCACAGCCGGAGACCAGGACAGCCGCTGGAAGCAGTACCTGGAGGACGAGAGGATCGCGCTCTTCCTGCAGAACGAGGAGTTCATGAAGGAGCTGCAGCGGAACCGAGACTTCCTCCTCGCCTTGGAGAGAGGTGGGAACCTGCGGGGTGGGCAGGCGCTGCAGCTACCACCCCAGGGCTGGAGAAAGAAAGATGTGGGCTTCCGCCTTGGGGTTCAAGGTGCCAGCACTTCTGTACCGCTGAGGCACAGCCCACACCAGAGGTCCTGGGGAAGCCCCAGAATTCTGCCAGCGTGGACCTGGGGCACCAGACACTCTCTGCCTCCCTAGGGACTCACAAGAAGAGGGGTGCATCTACTCCCTCCCCTTGCACACCCGCTGGGTGCTCAGCGCTGGCCTTGGCTTGGGGCAACAGGATGAGAGAGCTGCTTTTCCTCACTGGGCTCCAGCCACAAGGCTGACAGGACAGTCCAAAGCTCCAGAAACACAGTGACCGGCTCCACTGGGGCCAGAATGAGGGCTCCCTTTGTGGAGGATGTTAGGGCAAGGCGTTTGGGTGATCTCTGTGTGAGGTACCCTGCTCCCCAGCTTGGCTGCTATTCTCCTTCAGGACAGGGGGCTGTCTCAGTCGGGTACAGAGAGAGGGCTGTTGAGGCTGCATTGCGAGGGTCACAGTGTAAGTGCATGATTGATGTGTGTTAGTAGGGGGAGCAGTGGGAACGGAGGCTAGAGGGAGAACAGCCAGATGCTGGCCCTGCTGTACGGCAAAGGCTGTGGAGGTCTCAGGGCCTCTCTTTTTAAAATCAGGGCACTGGTGGGCCAGGTGTGGTGGTACACACCTGTAATCCCAGCACTTAGGAGGCAGAGGCAGGAGGATTACCACAAATCCGAGGCCAGCCTGGGCTACATAGTGAGTTCAAGACCAGATTCAACTACATAGCAAGACCTTGACTCAGAAAGCCAAAATAAAAAAATAAATAAGTAAATAAAAATAAACCAATGTATTGGACCCTCTCAGCCACCATCTGATGTGACTTTCTAACAGTTTAGGTAGTTGTCAGGCAGTCATTTCTGTTACCACCGGCTCTGTGTGCGCTTGTATCCTTTGTGTGCATGTGAACACGTGTGAGATTCCGGGGCCCCCCTCCCCCATCTTCCAGCATACCCCTGGGGGCCAGGAGCTCGCTTCCCTAACAGGAATGTGGTCCTTTTCCAGATCGACTGAAATATGAGTCCCAGAAATCCAAATCCAGCAGTGTGGCGGTGGGAAATGACTTTGGCTTTCCCTCTTCTGTCCCAGGTAACCTTACCTTCTGAGAGGGCGCACCTCAACTTCACCTTGCGTATTTATAGAGTTTAGGGGTGGGGCTTGAAATAGAGGTAAGGCGCGGAGGCCCTTCAGCCAGCTGGAAGGGATGGTGCTGGCCTGACCTCTGCACCTGCTGTGGAATGAGCTGTCTCCTCACTAAGCAGCCCTGGGTCCGCACCAGCCTGGGCCTGTGGGGTTAACACCATCTGGGTGAGCTCCTAGCCTGTGCCTGGTGGGATATGTCACACCACATAATGTCCCTTGGTAGTAAACGGGGGCAGGAAGGACTCAGAGACTAATGAGGCCTGGACTCTGATCTGGAGAAGCTTATGGTTCTGTAAGAACATATGTCTAAGAAACAGGTGGAACACACTAGCAAAGCTGAGGTCACACATTTTGGTTGTTTTTTCTTTTCTTTTTTTTTTTTTAATATTGGGGATTGAACATAGGGCCTTGCACGTGCTAGGCAGGTGCTGTATTACTGAGCTACACCCCAGCCTCTTTTTTTTTTTTTTTTT